CTGATTCCATATTTCCTTACTTTAATTTTTGCTGGAGTTCCACTGTTTCTTTTGGAATGTTCCCTTGGCCAGTACACATCTATAGGAGGCCTCGGAGTTTGGAAGCTTGCTCCAATGTTTAAAGGTATATTATGCCCACCTTGCCACATGACAGCTGCAAAAGGCATTTCTGAACCAGTTGCAATGTTGCTTCATTTATCATGTTGTTAATTTTTAAAAGAAATGTCTACATTTCCAAATTGCTACTGAAGCCTTCAGAGAGAGCTAAGGGTCTGGATAGTCTACTCCCATTACAGTTAATTAAAATTAATGAGAGTTAGAAGCCAGATCTTTTAGAAACTATTGAAAAATCTCAGAATAAATTATTGATTTAGTCTGTGTGAAAGGCAAGGCTTGTTGTGGGTGATATCTTTTATTGGACCACTTGCAAGGTTGGAATAGACTTAAACAAGCTTTTAGTGCAGTGGAGAATGCATCATATTCCATTACAAATTGCATTCACTGCAAATCCTCATGTGAATTTTTCATATGCTGGACTATATTTTGGGGATAACAGTAAAACCTAAAATCACCAAGTTCTGCCTAGCACTTAGCAAATTTCAAATTCTTTTACAGAAGCATGAGGTATTCTACACCACTTCTATGTTCCCATCCATATACAGCCAAAAAATGGTATGACCTTCTCAGTCAGATATAGATCACACTTACTCATTCATTTTGCTACCAATGCTGGGTTACTACAGTTCTCTCTATATATCAAGAAGACTTGAAAACTTAAGGGGTTGCAGATTACATTTTGGCTTCTGAAAAATAACCCGTTATACCTATGCCAAAAAGTAGATTGCTTAAAATCAGTGACTTATTTATACTGTTGTTTTTAATATGTTACATATGTTTGCCCTATAAATATAGATAACTCAGTATGATATAATTTCATCTTAAAATATTTTTGCCTTTCAAATGCCCCCAGTAGTGTAGTCTAGTGCAACAGAACACTAGTGGTTCTATTATTAAGGTGTTAAACACATCGCTATGAATAATTTACAATTCTCTAATGTTCACTTTGTTGTGTTTTTCTCTGCAGGTGTTGGATTAGCTGCTGCTGTCCTGTCCTTTTGGCTAAATATTTACTACATTGTGATTATTTCTTGGGCCATATATTACCTATATAATTCATTTACCACAGTAAGTGTGTGTACATTTCTTTTCAATAGAAGGAAAATCTTGTTACAGATAACTACTTAATCTAGTTCACTGTAAACAGTGAACTGAAAAAAATCCTTTAAGAGTTAAATTGTATGGAACCTTCTTATACTTAAATGCACATAATTAAGACGCACATTTTCCTTCGCTCACACTTTTGCATTCAAAAAATGACAAAATGAAACTAAACAGATTTTCCATTTGAATTTCAATTTTGAAAATACGGAAGTGTTAGAATTTTGTGCAGAAAGAGGTAGGTGTTTTTTCTTTCCTTTCCCCTTTTTCTTCTTCTTCATAAATTGCAGTAAAAGCAATTAAGTTGAGATCTTTCAAAGACATTCTTTGCACACTTTTTCTGTTTCTTTTATTCCTTTTTTACTCTGAAACTTTCCAAAACTTCTGTAACTTGGGTAAGTTAGTGTCACAGTTGTACTGTTACATTTTGCTTTTTATCTATTTCCTATCTTTTCCAAAGTTGATGAAGTTTGGAAAACTTAGAGTGGAAAAACAAGATCAGAGAGGGACATGTAAAAAGGAAAAATGTTTTGGAAATTATTTGTGTGTTGGTCTCAGTGGTTATCCATGTCATTCAGTTAGCTTATTAGTTATGGTATAACATTAGCCTTCTTCCAGTCCACTGGAACTTCCCGAAAATTTAAAAAAATTTAAAAAACCAAAACAAACATTAAAAATCAACAATGATTCAGACAGACATTTAGCTAAGTCTTCTAATATTCTTGGGCTCAGCTTACCCAGTCCTGATCTAAAATGTTCTGGTGTCCTGATCTAAAATGTTCAATTTTAATAGCTGTTATTTAACATTCTATCCTACTGATGGAGCAGAATGTTGTTACCATGTTCCAGTATGAATATTATAATCTGCTATTTTCCAAATACAGAACAGAAATATTCATTGAATGTTTCTTCATCTCATGCATCATGACTGACAAGTTTATAGTCCTTATTTTTCTTATATTGTTACTGTACCAATCTTAGAATTCCATTTATTTCTGAACCCTTGTTTGATATTTTTCTTAATCCAATGAAACATACCATTTTCTGTTTTCCATTCCCCTTAGACTTGTCCGTATTCCCATCAGAAATGTGTCTGCTTCCAGCCCAACCCAGCTCACAGGTGCTGTTCTAGGGGATACAGTTCTGGGGCAGCCTTGCTGAAATACAGGGCTTCCTACATAATGGTCAGGAATCCAATAGTTCTGGGAACCTAAACTCAAAATGGGGTCTTAAGGCCTCCAGGTTCCCTGATTCATGGGTAGGACTCCTCCAACTCCAGGGAGGTCCCCAGGGTTGCTCCCAGGTGCAGCCACCTACCCTATTTCATTTTAGAAAAATTGAAACTATCAGAATCATCTGAAATTAAAATTTAAAAAGTTCGTTTCTGAGGGAAATGTCAAGTTCTCATTCCAATTCAGAACAATTGTTTAGTGTCAGAAATAAACCCCAGAAATTCTGACTTGTATGCAGGTTTAGATTTGTATGTCTTGTTTATTAGCTGATAAACAAATGTTTTCATATTAGTTATGTCTTTTTTAAATTCTATTTGGAATTGTTATTTTCACTTCCCTTCTTAAACAAAATGATTTTTCAAGTGAGTAAGCCATCTACATGAATGTAGCATTTAAAGGTGTTTGGGGTCATCTAAGAAAGCATTCTTAAACAATTCTCAATTAGTATTCACATTTTTGTTTAATCTTTTCTTGCCAGTACATTTTGCTCTTGATACTGGACACTGTTATATAAAATGCCTGTTGAAAATAGCAACTCTAGTTCAAGTTCCTATGAAAATCTCATTCTAATTTTGAGAGGAAAAACTAAAACCTTTCAAAATGAGTTAATCAATAACTATCATGCTTCATTATCTTTTAATGTATCAAAGTCTTGAGGACCTCTTGAGTGCACCAGTGTCTTAAAGATAATTTCAATATATTCATGTTTTGAGAAGTGAAGCTGAATCTGTAATTTCTGACTAATACCTCAGAGAAAGAAGGAAATATTTTCACAACTGATTCATGTAAATAAATTGTGTGGCAGAACAGCACTTTGGGGAAATGAATAATTTCCAGAATTTGGGTATATTAGTTTTCAGTTTCACTTTCATTCCAATAGAGAGAGATATACCTGAGGTAAGGCAGACAAGGTTCTTTGGCTGAATCTGATATCTTTTATTAGACCAACTTAAATAGTTGGAAGATTTGGCAAGCTTTTGGGTTTAAAAACCCTTCATCAGGCTGAGGAAGTTTCTGCAGTTGGTGTGTGCTCTTCCTGCATGGAATGAAAAGCAAAGAAGCTAGAGGCTGGGCTGGGCTGGTATGCATGTGAGACAGGAAGTCAGTGAAGATGTAAATTGAGGAGTTATTGGGTGAGAGACAGGCTGGGGGTGGGGGGGAGAAGAGGGATGAATGTAATAGTTAAATAGTTGAGAGGTACCTGGGGAGTCAGATGTCAGGCAGGTTATAATGTGTCATAAATCCAATGGCTATATCTGGTCCATGATTTTTAGTATCCAGAAAGTTGATGAAGTGAAGTTCATAGGCTCATCTCTGAGAAGTGTTTTGTAAGTTTTCTTTGAGGATTAGAACTGAGAGATTGGAGAGAGAGTGGTTTTCTTGTGAAAAATGTGCCCCCACAGGTAACTGGGTATTCTGGTCTTTGATGGATTTTTGGTGTGCATTCATTCTGGTGTGCAGTTGTTGTTTGGTCTCTCCTACATATTTTCCATCAGGGCATTTGGTGCATTGGATGAGATATATTACATTGCTGGGGGTGCAATTGTAAGATCCAGGAATGCTGATGGCTCTGTTGTGGGGTGTAGTAATTGTGTGTGGGGTGGCGGGGGAGGTATGTTGGCATATTTTTCATGTCTTGTCATGCCATGGTCTGGATTCATTTGGTCTACTCTGGGACTGAAAAACTTTGCTTCTGGTGATGAGGTTAGTGAGGTCTGGTGCTTGTTTGAAGCCTAGGATGGGTGGTTCTGGTTCTTGTATGCATACCAGTCCACTCTCTAGCTTCTTTGCTTTTCATTCCATCCCAGAAGAGCACACACTGACTGCAGAAACTTCCTCAGCCTGACAAAGGGTTTTTAAACCCAAAAGCTTGCTTCATTTTCTTTTTCCAACTATTTAAGTTGGTCTAATAAAAGATATCAGATCCACCCAAGGAACCTTGTCTGCCTATGTCCTTAGACCAACAGAGCTACAACCTACACCCCTGTATATATGAGGTAATGCTTACATCATTGATTAACTCTATCTTTTTTTCTTTCTAAATAGAATCTCCCTTGGAGACACTGTGAGAATTCATGGAACACAGACCGCTGTTTCTCCAATTATACTATAGCAAATACCACCAACATGACAAGTGCAGTGCTTGAATTTTGGGAGTAAGTTGAGAAGAATCTTTATTTGTGTGCATATGCAAAATTCAACTTTTTATAATAACATACTTCCTCAAATACAAGGCAAGGTTTTTTCCCCCATTTAACATGGGGGGAAGACCCACATCCTGGATTTGAATACAAGCATGGTTGGACGGCTGGAGTTCAGAGCCACAGAAACTGCTTGCACCTGCCACCTCCCCTACTACAGCCTCTGCCTACCCTGCCCTCCTCCCCACCACTGCTCTGACTCTAGCCCCACTCTGGCCCAGGGCACAGAACATGTGGTCACTCCAGCCCTTGCTGGGCCATGCAGCAGTTGTGGTTGTGGTAACTTCAGCCCTAACTCCAGCCCTGGGGCTAGAGCAGGACCTGGTGCCACTGCTGGAATACATGGGCTGGACTGACCATGTGCTCCATGTCCTGGGCCAAACTGGAGCCAGAACCAAAGCTGCAGAGGGTAAGTAGCAGTGGAGCAGGGCTGGTGGTGAGGGAATGACAGAGGCAGCAGTGGCATGGCAGCAGGGAGGGATGGGCGGGAGGGGCAGATGGTGTGGAGACCAAGCATGGAAGACATAAGCACAGGGGGCAGGTGGGAGGGGGAAGTGGTGCACAGGGAAATGCCAGGGGACATAGGCAGGAGGAGGGGCAAGTGGTAAGGGGCAGGTGTCACAGGGAGGCAGGGGCCTGGGTGAACAGGCAGGTGGAAGTGGCAAGAGCCAGGGGTCAGACCATTTGACTTCCCCACTGCCTCCTGCCCTGCTGCTGGTTTCCTCACTGCAGTGGTGGAGAGAATGAACCAAGACAACCCTCTAATAGTTAGATTCTATACATGGAAAATGATAACACATTTATTATTTTTTCTTGTCTAGTATATAAGTACTGAGAGGTCATCTTAACTTTAAAACTGTCTTGGATTCAGATAAATATAGTATTACACCCTTCTTTGGAATACTGAGTTGTAAAATATGCCATTCTTTTTGCTCATTTTAGACGTAACATGCACCAAATGACTGATGGTTTGGAAAAACCAGGGCAGATCCGATGGCCATTAGCAATTACACTGGCAATTGCCTGGATTCTGGTGTACTTTTGCATCTGGAAGGGGGTAGGCTGGACAGGAAAGGTAAGACTTAGAAATATTGATCAGATGAGATTCAGTAAGGACCAGTGCTGCAGCTGGGATGGAATAATTGCTTTCACAAATACAGAGTGGGGAATGAGTGGCTAGGCCACAGTACTGCAAAGAGAAACCTGGGGTTTACAGGAGGCCATAAGATGAATGTGAGTGAACAGTGTGTCATGGCAAAAAAATCAACAGCTTATTAGGTTGTATGAACAAAAGTATCACTTGCAAAGCAAGGGCAGTGATGGGCAAGGACAAACAAATGATTTACATAATTATTAAGGGCCTGGGAAGCAATATTTATGGGGAAAGGCTAAAAGGATTCAGATTATTTAGTCTGAAGATGAGAAGTCTGAAGAAGAGTTTTGATTAAGAGTCTTAAAATACCTAAAGGGTGTTTACAGAGTGGCTGGGGATGGGCTTTTTCCATCACTGTAGGGGACAGGATTAAGAGCAAAGGACTAAAGATTCGTCAGGGTAAATTTATTTTGGAAATGAGGAGGAACTTTCTGACTATGAGGGTAGTCAAGCATTGAAACAGACTATCTAGAGAAATTGTGGACTCTCCCACCTTTCAATAGCAGGTTAGGCAGACACTTGGCTGGGATGGTTCAGCTGTGTTCAATGATGCTACCATATCATACTTGATTGAATTCTTCATGTAGATCTCCATGTGGCTAACGAAAAGCTAAGTATTCACAGGACAATAAAAGAAATGACCCATTGTGTCTGTTAGTTGAACTGAGCCTGTTTGAACAAAATGGTTCCAGTACAGAACTTCAAACCTGGCAATCTCATCTTTCTTTCCTACTTTCAGAGGAGGCAGCAAGATCATTCTCTGCAGCCTGACTTTACAGTTACCCATCCACAAGACTTGGAAATCAAGATATCAAGAGGCCTGTGGGGCAGTTATCCCCAACAAATGCCATCCTTCCACTCCCCTCTCTACTAGGAAGAGGAGGACTTATAGGTTCAGAAGACAGAGCTAAAAATGCTCTTCTCCAAGCTTGGCTGTGACTAGGAACACTGATGTTGTGCAGACTAATGCTTGCAGTGCCAAACAATATGTGAACTAGAAGTTCAGGAGCAGCCCAGTCCTATTCCTCATTTGTGGCCCTAGGGGCACTCAGAAGAGTAGTGGGGAATGTTAGTTTACTTTGTAGATGTGCTAAGTAGGGAATTCCAGAACTGTTGACTTGCTGTGTGGCACTAAATATAGAATGCCATTTCCTACCCACAAAATTTGACATTTTTTGTTGTTGTTGTGACACAAATAGTTAAAACTACTGAAATTTTACTGGGAGCCAGGGGGAGATCCAGGGCAGTATAGTGCTACAGTCGCATCCCCCTGTCAGCTGCATGCCACATGCATAGTGATCTCTCTGAGCTCACCAGCTGGTCCATGCAGGTGACTCTGGAGCTCAGGGGATGAATGCCACCACTTTTAGCCCTGCTCCACCCCTTTCTTTCCCCTGCCTCTAAATTTAGCACAGAGAAGGGGATGGGGGGAGGTAAATGGTGGCAGTAGTTGCCCCTGGACTCCAGAGGCATGCAAAAACAATGCTTGTGACAAGAGCCTGCACTGAACAGCTGGTAATCTCAGAAAGCTCCCTGAATGGAGCTCCAGAAGGACCCTGTGCTGATCAGGTAGGAGCCCAGAGGACTCAATGCACATGTGCTGCACAGCTGAAGGGGGTATGACTATACCCCCTTCACTCCTTTCCTGTATCCACCATTTTATGTCTAGATTTGTAATCCCTTGTTTCTTTCCAATAGGTGGTCTACTTCTCTGCTACTTATCCATATGTCATGCTGCTTATCTTGTTCTTCCGTGGAGTAACACTGCCTGGAGCAAGGGAAGGCATTTTGTTCTATATAACTCCTAACTTCAGTAAACTTTCTGATTCTGAGGTAAACATTTATTCTATGTAAATAAAAGTTCCCTACCAATTGTTTACCATTCAAATGATATCTAATCAGCCTCTTGCATGTATGTATAGACATAATAAAAACATAATTGCTTTCTGCAATCAGGTATGGCTGGATGCTGCCACACAGATTTTTTTCTCCTATGGTTTGGGTCTTGGTTCACTGATTGCTCTTGGAAGTTACAACCCTTTCCACAATAATGTTTACAGGTAAAAAGATTATTATATGTATTACAAAAGTTCTTAGATGTCCCAGCTGAGATTAGGTCCTATCCTGTTGAGTATTGCACAGACAAGGGTGAGAGCCATGCCCTGATACTAGGATCAGAGCCTCTTAATATGGAAGACAAAGAAACCGATAGGGAATTCAAAATTGCAAAGCGTAATTAGGCAATTTACCCAGCATGACCCAGAAAGTGTCAAATAACTAGGAACTGAACCCACAATTGAAAAGCGTTTTAATCATGCATCTTACCAGCGAAAGTTCCCAACAATAAAAGAAGTAAAAAACAGTTTCTGTGCTTTACTGCTGCTTCAGATCAGGCTGGTTAAGGTATTCTGCAGCAAGCAGCACACAAGAAAGTTATAGGTGAAGTATCACAACTGGCTACTTTTGACTTCCCAGCTCAGCCAATTATCCGCTTGTGACTGGGTATCTGGGGGGTGGCATATGACACACACCTGAAGGAAGGTTTGAACTTAGGCCTGTGAATTCCATTGCAAGACACTTGCACTATTCTATCACTTGCACTATTCTACCACCACAACCCACCACTCAACAGCACCAGTTAAAAGTATTGACATATACCAGTATTTTTTCATTCACTAGCACTTTACCTTTCTTTCAGGGATTCCATTATAGTGTGCTGCATAAATTCATGCACAAGTATGTTTGCTGGCTTTGTCATCTTCTCCATTGTTGGGTTCATGGCTAATGTCACCAAGAGGCCTATTGCAGATGTAGCAGCATCAGGTATGTGCGTTATATTTTTCCAGAGTTCAGTGGTATCCATTATTTTGTTTACAGCAATATCTATTTGAGCTACCATTAATCATTTATATTTCCCCTATTAGTTTCCTTAACCACATGTTAAGTGAGTGCCATCTTACATATTAACAGAGAGAAAGGGAGAATTGTTGCAAGTCTCACAGAGCATCATATGCCACCAAATGAGTTAACACTAAGCTGGATGCCCTCGACTGAATCACCTACTTGCAAACTACATGTAGCCTTAGGGCATTTGCTAAGAGACCCAATGTAGGCCAAAACAATTAAATAATAATGGGTGCACATTCAGTTACTATAGAGCTTAACAAGATTTTAAATAGTTATGAAAATCTGAGCAATGGCCTTCTGTTGTAAAAGTTTCCAAATATATATTAAGTGTAGAATAAATACTGATCAAAGCAATGAAAATCATTTAGTTTACTCTCATTTTCATGTCAGTATTATTTAACATTAAGCCTTTTCCTGACTGGTCATTTTTTACCCTTTTCCCAATGGGCCTAACCCTGTACAATTTGAGTTGGACTGGATACTTTGTCAGGAAAATTGCTTAATTAAGACAGTCAGCTGCCTCATTGGGTGTCACACTTGGAAGGAATTTGCATAGTTTGCTTGCAGTTCTCTGAATTTTCATTAGATGGAAAAGCTATAATTTAAGCAGAGCTGATGGTTGCTGTGGCCCAGTTGGTATGCCAGGTATCCATCCATCTACTGCAGCCACGAAGAGGAGCATTCAGTCAACTAGGAGAGGTGTATGGTAGCCCCTGATAGATTCATAGATTCATAGATGTTAGGGTCGGAAGGGACCTCAATAGATCATCGAGTCTGACCCCCTGCATAGGCAGGAAAGGGTGCTGGGTTTAGATGACCCCAGCTAGATGCCTATCTAACCTCCTCTTGAAGACCCCCAGGGTAGGGGAGAGCACCACCTCCCTTGGGAGCCCATTCCAGACCTTGGCCACTCAAACTGTGAAGAAGTTCTTCCTAATGTCTAGTCTAAATCTGCTCTCTGCTAGCTTGTGGCCATTATTTCTTGTAACCCCCGGGGGCGCCTTCATGAATAAAACCTCACCAATTCCCTTCTGTGCCCCCGTGATGAACTTATAGGCAGCCTCAAGGTCGCCTCTCAACCTTCTCTTGCGGAGGCTAAAAAGGTCCAGGTTCTCTAGTCTCTCCTCCTAGGCCTTGGTCTGCAAGCCCTTAACCATACGAGTGGCCCTTCTCTGGACCCTCTCCAGGTTATCCGCATCCCTCTTGAAGTGCGGTGCCCAGAATTGCACGCAGTACTCCAACTGCGGTCTGACCAGTGCCCGATAGAGGGGAAGCATCACCTCCTTGGATCTATTCGTCATGCATCTGCTGATGCATGATAAAGTGCCGTTAGCTTTTCTGATGGCTTCGTCACACTGCCGACTCATGTTCATCTTGGAGTCCACTAGGACTCCAAGATCCCTTTCAGCTTCCATGCCACCCAGCAGGTCATTTCCTAGGCAGTAGGT